CAAATGCAAAAGCTCAGTTTTTTTTCTTTGAGAATTTAAAGCAGAAAACCACAGCTAAATACATCTTCCCCACCCTACCCCCAACCTCACCACAACTGAGAAAAGCACCAGGCTCCAGAGACTCCATCAAAAGCTTAAGCTGTTACATCAACTCCACGGTGCCCAGGAAACAAAAATGCCTGTATACAAAATCTAGATAAACTGTCAGAGCACTGTCACAGTACACAATAGCTCACTGTCAGAAGCTCACCAGAAGGCGCTGTACCAGCTGCTACAGCGCTTCTTGATGACCTCTCCCCAAGCCCAGGGACTGAAAACATGACTAACACAGTCATCCAGCACCATCAGGATTGGTGCTCATCAGAATGGACATTATTCTTGGCTGTGTGTGAACTACTGCTCAACGAGAAATTCTGACAACATCAATTACATTAACAACATCACTATCCATTTCATTCGGAAACAAATGGAAAAAGGCTAAGCAGGCTAAGTAAGGAGTAATTAGAATAATCTGTTCCCTAAATAAAGAATGCTTCAAAGCAGGTTGCTTTGGAAACATTTTAACTTCAATATTGATTTTAGTAAAAATGTACAAACATATATTTAAACATATGTCTAAAATTAAATCTGAAAATAATCAAAGGTAATCCTTTAAAATTGGGTTTAAGATTAGTCTATTCCACAGAAACATCTGGTTGAGTTGAGATCTTTTAACCTTGGAAATGAGATTAGAAATCCACTGTTTTTAAATTTAATTTCTAGTTATTTTATCTGGGTCACAGATAATCTGCTCTCGCTTAAATCTAAAACATCAGATAGTCGTCACTGTGATTATCCTGTTACCTTCTACTATCAATAAGAAGACAGGATCTTCCCTCTCAAGTGGAGAGAAATGATTTATTTATTCCAAGAATAATGGGAAAAAATTACTGAAAATGGATGTGCTGCTTCCTCAAAGCCTCAATCTAAACCTAAAAAAGACAGCATTTGTTTTGCCTGTTTGTTGTCTAATAGGCCTATATTCAAGTTATGTAATGACATAGTTTATATAATGAAGTAATACCCCTACCAGTGTTTTCCCAAAATGCCTCCTGGTCTTTGGGTGCAGGAATAGGGGAAGGAATAGGGGAAGTCCTTCAGTGGAAGGATTAAATTTACTGTGATTCCTTCTCCTCCTTTTCTTTCTTATGCTACCTAACAAATTCATCACTTCTTTCACATTGTGGGAGATGCATGGATTCAAATTATGACAGAAACATGCCCAGGTGTGAAATTTCCTGTGGATAGTCTGAATTTTTTCATAAAATGAAAACAGCAAGCATACTGTATTTAAAAAAAGTAAGCAAAATCTCTGTATTTTTAACTTTAATTAAAATATATTTTATTTAAATACTAATAATTCATTGGATTTAAAATTAATACTGAGGTTTAACAACCTTAAATAATTAAGCCTTAAAGAGCCTTAAATCAATGTGAGGAAGAGTACACTCTGGAAACCTTAAAAGAATTTTTTTTTAATCCAAAAAGAGTGATGCTAGAAGGTCACTAGGAAAGCCCAGGTAAATGGAATTGAAATTTGCTGTAATTGTTCAAAGCGCTTGGATTCAAGAGGAAGGAGAGTGAGTAAAGACTGGACTAACAAATGTATACTTTCTCTTAACACTGCATTCTTTTTTGAATGTTTTGCGAATGTATAATTTCTACAGACATCAGAACTGTCTAGTACAGAGTATTCTGAGAGGGTACTATATGTATACAGAAAGGAATGAAAGCTTTGGAGAAAGCATTATAGAACAAATGTGACTTCTACTTAGTTTTAGAAATATCAAAACATCAGAACCAACCTCCCCATCTTAAGACAACGAAATGCTGTTCAGTATTATAGCGAAACAAAAAATCCTGCAATTTGAAAAATATTAACATGTTGACAATATGGAATAGAGTCAGAACAGAATCTGATATTACACATCCTTTAAAAACCAAGAAATTCAATAAATAATTTTAGGGTCAACTCAGAAGTGAACACTCAAATTTTAGAGTGGGGACTCTTAAAGATTTTGAAGCTTTTGCTGCCAAACTCCTCTCTCTCAAGCTTCTGAGGCTGCTGGGTGAGAAGGAAATTGCTGCCCCCAGCTATAAACCCCAACAGCCCTTATAAGTAACTTGTACTCTTAGCAGCAATGTCCCAAATGTCCATTTCCAGTCATTCATCATAAGAAATAGAAAAAAAATCTGAGAATTCTTATTCCAGGAGATATAAATATATACCAATGATTTTGGTAAATCCAAAAGTGAAAATTCAAAAAATGCAAGTATAATCTGGCAATTCTGACATGACTTATAGACAGACTATAAAGTAATTATGAATTAGTATAAAAGTAGAGAAAAGATTTTAGGTAAAGACCTACTCTCATCTTCACCACTATTATTAATACCATGTTATTTATCATTAGAGAAGTCATAAGATATTAGAAAATATTTCAAGCTGAGTAACAAAAATAATTTAAACAGACATTATACAATCCATGAACAGCCAATAAGAACATGAAGGGGAAAAAAATGTAAACAAGCATTTAGCTCTATTAATGATTTGCATGGTGAACAATTTGCTGCCTGCAATTTATTTTGATATGTATCGAAACATATAATAGATTGGTAGACACTCTGACATGAGATAAAGCAAGCATTCTAATGTTAATTGTGGTTGGGTATTCACTGTAAAATTCTTTAAAATTTCCTATGTGTTTAATGTTTTTCTTATAAAACCTAGGGAGGAAAGGTTATTATGAGTACCTTATAAAGTAGGCAAACACAGGTTATACAAGAAATATGTTTTCCCTCCATTTCTGACCGCATTCTTCCAGTTTTATTCAGAGGCTAGTCACCACTACCTGTATCTAGCTCCCCACCCCTAGGCAACCACTCATCTCCTTTCTGTTTCTACAGACTTGCCTATTCTGGACATTTCATATAAATGGAATCGCACAAATACAGGGCCTTTCATGACTGGTCTCTTTCACTTAGCATAACGTTTTCAAGGTTCATCCATGTTACAGCATGTATCAGTCCTTTACTTCTTTTTATGGCAGAATAAGATCCACTATATGGATATTCCACATTTTGTATATCCGTTCATCAGCTAACAGATACCTGGATTGCTCCCAGTTTGGGGTTATTATGTATGAATAATGTTGCTATAAATATTCATGTACAAATATTTGCACGGACATACTTTTCATTTCTCTTGGGAATATACCTAAGAGTGGAACTGCTGAATGAAATGATCATTCCATGTTTAACTTTTTAAAGAACTTCCAGACTGTTATCTGTCTGCACTGTTTTCCATCCCCTCTAGCAGTGTGAGGGTTCTGATTCCTCTACGTCCTGACCAACCTTATGTTACCATCTTTTTTTATTACAGCCATCCTAGTGTGTGTGAAGTGGTACCTCATCATGGTTTTGATTTTTATTGCCCTGATAACCAGTGATGTTGAGCATCTTTTCATGTATTTGTTGTCCATTGGTATAACCTCTTTGAACGAATGTGCATTCATATCTTTTGGCCGTGTTTTCATTAGGGTTTTTTTTTTAGAATTGAGTTACAGGAGTTCTCTATCCTAGATAGAAAAGCCCCTTATCAGATACAGGATTTACAAATATTTTCTCACATTCCATGAGCTGCCTTTTTACTTTTTTGATCTCGTACTCTGAAGCACAAAAGTTTATAGTTTTATTTATCCACTTTTTTCTTGGTTGTTTGCACTTTTGGTGTCATATCTAAGACATTATTTCCTACTCCAAAATTTACTCCTATGTTTTCTTCTAAGAGTTCTATCATTTTAGGTCCTCATTTAGGTCTATGATCCATTTTGAGTTAATTTATGTATATGGTGTGAGGAAAGGGTCCAACTTTATTCTTTTGCATGTGTATATCTAGTTATCCCAGGAGCATTTATTGAAAAGACTTTGCTTTCCCCCGTTGCATAGTTTTGGCACCCTTGTTGAAAATTAGTTAACCATATTTACATACATATATCTCTGAACTTTCAATTCTATGTCATTTATCTATATGTGTATCCTTGTGCCAGTAGCACACTTTTTTGATTACTGTTACTTTATAGTAAGTTCCGACAACATTTTTTTCTCACTATACATTGTTTTCACTGAACATATTCTGGTAAACACTTATGCTTACATACACGATACATATGCTATCCATAATATAACAATGGGGATCTTTTATAACATACATGATTATTTACACACGTCAATAAATAGTTTCTACAAAACAAATGTGTAGAGGTTGATCAAAATGACTGTGCCTTTTAAGGTTTAATACACACTGACAATTAACCCTTCAAAAAGGTTATGCCAATTTACCCCCATCAACGATGTATTTTTTAAAACCTTAGCCTACATCTTCTACAATGCAGTATATTACCAAACTTTTAAATCCTTACTCAATATAATTTTTCTCACTTTTTGAACTTCTCTGTTGTGATAAATCCCACTTGGCTAATAAATACATGCAAAAAAAAATAAATAAGACCCAATCACTAATAAAATGTTTCTAACCAGCACCTCCATTTTTTGGAATTTATCTTAAATAGCCTTAAATTGTTTAAAGAGGAAAAAGAGATGTTCAAAGCAGTGTTATTTGTAATATAGAAAAAAAGATTACACACTAGATGCTGATCAACAGGCAAAGTGTTAATATGGTATATTCACTAAACAGAGTATATCCAACTATTAAAAACTAAAAACATGGAATCTGTAGGCATATAGAAATATGCTAATTTTTAAAAGCAGGATACAAAACTGTATATATACTCTGTACACTGATTGTAACTATGTTAAAATTACACAGGCATATGGAAATGAAAATATATAAATGACTATGTGGTAATTTTCTCCTTTAATTTCTAAACTTGTTGTCACTTCTTAGAATTAAGCTCATAATTAGCGAATGTGTTCATAAATACATTAAAATATATACTTACTGTGATGATGCCAATTAGTTGAGTATAAAAAAGTCCAGTTATTCCAACTAACATAGTAATGCCCATAAAGGCAGCTAGTCTCATTATGGCCAATTCATGTCTAACAACAAAGAGGTCCTATAAGAAGAAGAGAGAAGACAGACTTAAAAACAAATTGGAAAGTTACTTATAATTGCAATAACAGTCAAGAATTAACCTATAACACTGCCCCTTATTTTCTTAAAAAAATACTCTCCCCCTTTTGAGTTTATTCCACTTAATCATTATATAAATATTTGAAAATTTCAAAAATAATTGTTTTTAATTCATAGTAGCAAGCCAAAAAATAGGATTTTTACTACTCTTGTGTCGAAAAACCTCAATCCTAAAGTTGCAAATTAGCCACACTGATTTACTGTTTGTAGCAAAAAACAAAAAACAAAACAAAACAGAAACCTCCAAAAAAAACAAACAAAACATATATAATCTTTGGTTACACAAAAGGAAATTTTATTATTATACTGCTAAAGAGTTTGAATGCACAAGCATGATTCATAGTATTAAAGTTCAGGTGACCAAGATACCCAGAGATTATGTGACTTAGTCAAAATAAGGGGGAAATATTAATGATAGGATCGTGTGGACAAGTTCTCTTTAAGCCTACTTCATTCATCCATCCATCCACCCACTCAAACACCACTGCCAAGCACTGCGCTAAGTAATAGAAAAGTAAAAATGAGAAAGATACGGTCCATACCCTGAAAAAACTGCAGCTTATTTAAAGAGAAAACCCAATTTTATGAAACTCCAAAACAGTGTGATCTATGTTCTACCAGGGATGCATGCAGAAGACTGTGGAAACATCAAGCAATGCCTAGACAGGAAGGAGACATGTAAATGCTGTGAGGGAAAGCTGATTTCCTGTCTCAGGGCATAAAAATGAGTGTCTTGAGGGTGAACCCTAGAAAGTGGCGGAAAGACAGGCAAACAAGAAGCATTTCATTTACTCTGTTACCAAGCAGACAGACTAGAGGAGTGAGACGGAGTTCTGGAAACCTACAGCTGCTAAACTCTGCAATAATACTTCCACAGTGGACAGAAGCAACAGATGAATGGGAAGGACCCCCAAAACATAACCACCCACATGCTTTTTTAACAGTGATTCTGGTTAAGGCTTAAAGGTATCCTGGTAGCAAATTCAAAAATAGGGAGGTCACCGAACATAATGAGCTTGCTTAAAACAAAAGAACTGATGCTTTTCGATGTATCACAGTGACCACCCCCCAGACTCAAGCAGAAATCTGAGTGTACACCCAAACCACTCAATTCATTGGCTTGGAAAAACTTAAACTCCACCAAGACACTTACGGTGCTGTACAGCAGTCAGATATTAGGCAGTATTTCAAATGCTCAGTGAAAAGAGCCTAACACAGAGTCCCTACCAATCATGTAAAGATGAAAAGATGGAGCTATGCATGATACAAGAAATTAAGTGCAGAATGGAGCACTGGGTGTTATACGCAAACAAGGAATCATGGAACACTACATCAGAAACTAATGATGTGATGTATGGTGATTAACATAATTAAAAAAAGTTAAAAAAAAATTCAGTGCAGTACGTTCTGCTATAATGCTGTTTGAAAACACAAATTTGTTCCAACGTGGTCCATACACGAAACAACTTGAGCATAGAAAGAATTCTGTGTTTGCTTACTGTGATTTCATCCGCGAGAAACCCTAGATGAACAATGGAAAACTGCACCCAGCTAAATTAAGGCCTATGGGAATACACAAAACACATGCATACACCCGAACACCTACTGACTACCACAACTGATCCTGTGTTAGAAGCCTCACTCATCCACATCTGCTATTACACCTTTCCGATTTCAGATGACTCTCCTTCTGTTACTTCCCAGCGTGTCACTTACTGTAACCCATCTCATGCCCACTGCCACAACAACATGGCAGGTCTCTTTTAAGATAAAGTGTCAAGTTTGGTACCGTATTTATGTATTTCTTAACTATTTAACATGTGTGAAACCGTGCTGATTGTATTAGGTTCTGACCCTTCTGAGTGTCACTGACAAAGTTTCTGAGTGTTGTGCCTCCATCTTCCCATAAGCTCTGTGGTTTTCACTGCATAATTTTGTAGAGTAGGGTGAATTTCAGAAGTGTACATATGGGGGGGTGCCTGGGTGGCTCAGGCGTTAAGCGTCCGCCTTCGGCTCAGGTCATGATCCCGGGGTCCTGGGATCGAGCCCCGCATCAGGCTCCCTGCTCGGCGGGAAGCCTGCTTCTCCCCCCCCCATGTGCTCTCTCTCTCATTCTCTCTCTCTCAAATAAATAAATAAAAAATCTTTAAAAAAAAAATTTTTGTTGAGCACTTACTAGGTACCAGACACTGTGCCAGGTCCCAAGGATAAAAAGATGAATAAAATGTGGTCCCTGCTCTTAAATTTTTCACAGCCTAGTGTTTTAATTACCTCAAGTTCTCATGGGTTTCGGGTCCTATTAAAATTTTATCAGAATAAAGTGTTTTAGGCATCTCAAGACATATAGGACTTGGGTAATAAAACTAATTTCCCTTTTATCCATGCTTTGATGCATCATTTCCAAATGAAGACCACCTCCATTCTAGGATGAAAGACAGGCAACAAGCTCCTAGTAGTGGTGGTTCTTCAGTTAGCACATGTAATGGGACTTAGATGTTCACACTGTAGTGGAAATAGCCCAGGCTTTGTAGTTAGGAAGAATCCAGACTCAGCCACTTATTAGCCATGAAAACTTAGTCAAGGCATAATTTTCAAAATTTCAAAATTTGCCTATTAGGAGATAATTCTCCATGGATCTCTTGAGTTTCTGTACAGCTTACAAAACACTAATTGTCCTTTGTTCCAGACTGTCTTTGCAAGGCCATTTCCATAGCAAATGGTCTTAGAAGATAGGGATAGCATCTCCCTGTAGAGAAAAAGAGAAGGCAGACTTACTGAACATTATAAAATGTTCTTCATGCTTAGTATAATGATTGCCACCCCCGTGGGACTTGAGGGCAGGAGTAACTGTCACAAATATACTGCTGCTTGCTGCTTGCTGAACTATAATCATTAAGTCCTTTGTTTCTGACCCAGGAATCTCGTGTCTTCTGCCAGCATCCATTAAACTCTGGCAGGCCAACTTGTCAACTTGCACGTAAAGGGAAATCTTAAGCCTTTGGTAGGTTTTACATTGACTGTCCTATAAACATATAGTGAGCACATAATGAAGACTGATTTAACTCATTAGTGAAGGAACCAATAAGATGGTAAAGATAGTTTTACAAGCATTTGAAAATAGACATTTATTTCCCCCTTCAGGAAAGAAATGTTGCAAAGTTTAGTTAAATTAGATACAAAACTGCATAGTGCCCTACTGGCCAATGAAAGTATAACCCTTGGGAATACCTTTTATAATAGAAAAAATTCTTTTGCATCTCTATAGAACAAAAGTATGTTGTAATTTAGCAACCTACATATTAACAAATTGGACTCTAATTTACAGTCTGGGCCTTAATCCTAAGCAATAGTCAGTCAAAGTCAGTTACATGTACCTGCCTCTAGAGAATGAAATAATCTGGAGGGGAGGGTGCTGTTAGACAGTGCTTCTGATGATACAGAAAAGACATGCGGGCAGTCATCCTTTTGCTTATTTCTGAGTTTTGGATTATTTTTCTTACTACTTTGAGCAAGTTACCTACACTCTCTGGAGTTCAATGTCTTCATCTGTAAATAGAGATCATAATACTCACCTTTAAAGAGAAATAGTACATACGAAGTGAATGGTACAGAGTAGGTGCTAAATTAAAAGTAGCTATTAGGAACAGTAATCATACACAGTTGGAGTTTGCTAATTTTTTCTTCCCCAGCCTGCCACAATTTCTTATTTGTGCTCTGAAGCTAAAAAGAACATGTGTGTGTTGAAACTTTGAAAATCTGCTTAGAGTGCTGTTTTTTTGTTTTTAAGTTTTTATTTATTTATTTGAGAGAGAGAGTAAGTGAGAGAGCAAGACAGAGCATGAGGCAGGGGAAGAGCAGAAGGAGAGGGAGAAGCAAGCTCCCTGCTGAGCAGGGAGCC